AAATCTCAAAGTCAAGATAATTTCATGATTAGCCTTATTATCTTGATCATATCATGAACTGCACACACTTCATCATTCCATTTATACATCTTTCCTGGTGAAGGTGTCTCCATCATTATTGTAGAAAGCCATCACCAGCAGATGAATATTCCGGACAACATTACATCTCAAACAACTGTTAATTGATTCCATGGTAAAGAAAGAAGAGAGAAAAAAATAAGGAAGTTGAAATCCACATGTAATTTTCATTTTTCAATCTTAGGAGAAATTATGAAAATTCCATTATGACAATTTCTTAAAATATATGATGGAAAAGAATTTAAAACCCATCTGAGAAACTTACGTGTGTTATATAGTATTAAATTCTGATATCACTGGGCTTTAAAATTGGTCTAGGTTTTTGTAAGAGGACTTTTTGACCTTATTGTAATAAATCATCTACCTTGAAGGTAATAGAGTGTGCCATCAGTTTAATGTGGCTCTTGAGTGACCCTGGGCTCCAGCCCTGGCTGGTAATATTACAGTCCGCCTTACCCATTACACTCTCAATGTCTCATCTTTATGATAGAAATGCCAAAGAACTTAGCACAGTGCTATAACCAGGAATGCTTGCTCAGCAACAATTTTAAACATTTATTAGACATTTATTAGAAACTTTAGTGTTTTAGTGGTTTTCAAAAACGTTCTCTGCTTCTTTGAATACTCCTTTTTGGATCTACCGTAATCACCAAAATCCTCTTGCTTTTGTCTTAAAGACATCAATATCCAAGAGTCATTTATGAAAACTCAACTTTCCATGAAAAGGGAACTCCAGAACATACATAGAGGAATTCAGGAAGCAGGTATAAAGCAAGTCACCTCAGGAAAACCGGAAAACACAGTTGCCCTAGCTGTACATCTCAGCTAACTTACACTGCTGTGCTGGACAAAATGGGAGAATGCCAAAGAAAGACTTGAAATAATGCGAAAGTCCTGATGACTTACCAACACCAAGCTTCTCAAACGAAGCGAATGGCTATAATTTGCCCCCACTTTTTTTAGTTTAAGTAAAATCTTCAAGGTATCTCACCACACATGTTTTAAAACGGAATATTTCTAAATTGTGTTCCAACAGCAGGAATTCAAAGAGAAAGGGGAAAGTACGGGGTGTAGAGAAGTATGAAGACCAAGAAAGTGTAGTCTGATTCCAAGAGTATTCTCACCCTCGGAAAGCCTTAGAGCTTGTAAGTGTGTGGGTTCTCTGGGAGATCCCAGAAGACTGTCATAACAGACCATGATCACCATCCAGAAGGCCGTGTCAAGCACATCTTATTTCTGAAAGGGTACCCCCAGTGCAGATAGCCTGTCAAACACATTTTACTTCTTAATGGATTGCCCCTGTGTTGCACTGGAAGAAAGAATGGGAGGCAGAACCGTATTCCAAGGGTACTGTTTGAATCACCCTGATACCTGAAACTGGATTCAGGAAAACATGGAATTATTGAAATGTCATTGAGAAAGCCAAATGTACATCCTTCCTCTAGGAAAATCACAGCACTAGTCTCAAAATAATTTTCCAACTTTGCAAATATGAAACCTAACATGAAATTAAAAAATACAGTCCCAAACCAGGCATGTAAGAAGATATGTAGCTCAAATGGCATCAAACACAAACAAAGCAAAACTAGCTCCCAACAATGAACTGAAACCACTGCTCTCTCAGAACTATAGGAAAGTCATGAAGGACCATGTGACTGCTAAGCCAACCAATGACATGACAGACTAGTAAAAAATACCAAAGGAGCCAAGAGAAAGCAGGGAACAAAGAAAAAGGAACCTAGCCAGACATTGTGGTGTACACTTTTAGCACTCGGGAATCATAGCTAGGTGGATTTCTGTGAGTTCCAAGCGAGGCTGATCTACAGTGTGAGTTCCAGGCCATCCAGGGTTATAACAATTAAAGAGATAAAGGTCATGTGTTTGAGAGAGTGCAAGAAAGGGTACATTGGAAGGGTTGAAGAGAGGAAAGAGAAGTAGGAAATGATACAACCACATTATAATTTTGAAAAAATGGATTCCTTTAAACAAATTCAGTCTTCATGTCTTGGGGGGGGAGGGAGTTGGGAAGAGTTGTCAGGTAATTTTTCTCTCTCTCTCTCTCTGCTTCCCTCCTTTCTACCTCCCTCCCTCCTTCATTCCCCCCTCTCCCTTCCTCCCTCTGACATGTTTACATAACAGTATTATTTGGGGAGAGGAGGCACGGACTCAGTCTTTTCATCATTTGTTTGCTATGCTGTATATAGGAAACTTGGTGCTGCTTCCATGACACCACCATACTGGTCATGTGAGCCTATGATTCCTAGAAATAGGATAACTGTAATCACAAAATATTTCATAAGGAAAACTCCCTGACAGTGTTAAGTAGCAATATGGAAATTACGCAAGAGAGAACTGCAATTTTTAAAAGTGCGATAATTCATAACTGAAATATTAACTGCAATAAATATTCCAGTATAAACCTTGATGTGTCCATTTGGACATTTTCATCTCCCAAGTGGCTAGTCTAATACCAATTAAAGCATCACAGATTGCTATTTTCTCTTCCTGAATTATTATTTTCATGAATTAATTTTGTCTTAAAAATCAGACCTTTTCCAAATGAGAATACATTTAAATATCTGAGGTACAAAAGTGAAGTTGAGTGTCAGGACCCATAGATATCTATGATTTCAAATTCTAAAAATACAGAATCATGGGAATAATGCTAGAAAAGTTAATAGCTGAGAAACTGGCTTCTGGTGTCACCTGATCATGCCTCTAGATGTTTATAGAGAATCCAAATAGTAGTTATATTTCATTCTGAAACTGCTAATCACTTTGTGTATATATATATATATATATATATATATATATATATATATATATATAT